TTACTTATAACCCCAATTAAGGTACTTATAACTACCCTACTTGCTAAGTCCCCTGATCCTCCAGGTAGAGCTTCTGGGTTGGAAGGTCTTGGGTCTATTTTTTTAGGGCTCGATCAGCTTAATGTGTAGAAGAATGTGAATAGGTACCCCAACCACGGAAGCCCTACTTTCTACTACCTTAATTCTGAACCCGAAACCCTACACCCTCCAGCCTAAACTCCAAACCCAAAGCACTGAACCCTGAAACCGACTTTCTGCTACAAAAGTACTTCGGGTCCTTTGGTGTCTATCAGGGTTCAGGGTTCAGAGTTTAGGGTTTAGGGTTAGTATGGGCCCAGCCCTAAACCCCACACCCGAAACCCCAAACCCTAAACCCAACAACCCTGAACCCAAGACCCAAAACCCTAAGCCCTAAACCCTGTACACAAGGGGGGGCATGGGGGGGTACATTACTGGCTCCTCCCTCGCTTCTTTGAGTGTTTAGTCCGCTGTTGGTATTGATTTAGGGTTTAAAAGGTAGGGCTTATCGGGTTTAGGGTGTATGGGGTTTTAGGGGCAGGGTTTAGGGTGTTTAGGGGCTTAGGGTTTCGTGTAAGGTTACATGGCTTAGGATTTAGGGTCTAATGTAAAGCTTATAGGGTTTGGGGTTTAGGGCTTGAGGGGTTTAGGGTCAAGGGCTTACGGCTTAAGGCTTATAGGGTTTAGGGCCTTAGGGGTTTAGGTCTTTGGGGTTTTAGGGGTGTGGTATCTAACCCTAAGGGTCCAAGTACCTAATCATCATATACTCTCCCAAATATTGACCTAGAAAACTACGATCCGCAACCGAAGTACCTTATTATTTGGTCCTTTGGACCCTTAGGGTAAGGCCACAAGAAGGGAACAACGGAAACCCTAAACCCTAATCCCTAAACCCTAAATAGAATCACCCCACCTCGCTTCCAGAAGCTCCTCGTCGGCGAGTCCGGCTTCCTCTCCCTCCACCAACCTGGGTTGCTCTTTATTACCTTAGGTTTAGGGTTTAGGGTTTAGGGTTTAGGGTTTAGGGTTTAGGGTTTAGGGTTTAGGGTTTGCTAAAATTATAACTTTACCTTGCTAAAATTATAACTTACAGGTTTAGGGTTTAGGGGTTTAGGGTTTAGGGTTTAGGGTCACTTTTAGGATTAGCCCTGTTTGATGTTAAGGGTACTAAAACCCTAAGGGTCCATGTACCCAAATAGATATACTTGGGCCTTAAACTAGTCCCTATAGAAGTACTTTGGGGCCAATGTATATACTATTTGGGTACATGGACCCTTAAGGTTTTAGTACCCTTAATGTCAAAAAGGGCTCATCCACAGGTTGGGTTGCTCTTTATTACCTTGGTTTAGGGTTTAGGGTTTAGGGTTTGCTAAAATTATAACGTTTAGTACCCTTAGTATCAAAAAGGGCTAATCCTAAAAGTGATAAAGCTATAAACCCAGAGGGTCCGAGTACCCAAATAGTAAGGTTTTAGGTCCCAAAATCCATACTCTGAATGGTTTTTGGACCTTGTAACCCTACTATTTGGGTACTTGGACCCTTAGGGAGAGAGGCCGGAGGTTTCTGAATTTGGTTCAGGGTTCTGTTTTAGGGTAAAGTGACTGTAAAGTTCAACCAAGCAACGCAGAGGCCAGCTCGGGAAAACGATTCCTGGACACCGGGATTATGGGTTTGAGGGTTTAGGGCTTTAGGGTTTTAGGGTTTAGGGCTTTAGGGTTTAAGGGCTTTAGGGTTTTAGGGTTTTAGGGTTATAGGGGTTT